TCTCCAGCTATTATTAAACTGCACCTGCCCTATAATGAACTGCGGTGTATCCATCCTTGAACTATTAATCTGTTATTTTTAAAGCATGCTGTATGAGACAAATAAGGTGATGTCGCAATTTGATTTTATAGAAATACCTTTGCATTTTGACAGCTGACATTGAAATAGACGGAGAGGTGGAAGTAGAACCATCGCAACTGGAAACAAGGTTAATTCATGAAGTGTCAGATAAGAGCAAACAAATGTATTAATGTTACAGTTTAGATGAATAGTGAAGCATTACCATTATTCTAATTTGCAAAACTGATAGTATTGTTCTGAACAGTAACTACGGTATCTAAAATCATTATTATAACCGTTTAGATTATGGCAGAGACGCACGTGCAGACACCATGTAGAAGCATTTGAAAATGGGACATCTGATCAAAGAGACTTCACTGTACGATGCGGCAGAATAACAAGTACAGAAATACTATAGCGAGGAAAGACAAAGCCATGGCCGTGTTGGCGTCAGTCGGCCGACGGAGCGCGGGCACGAGCAGCGCATTTCGAGAGCTCGTCGCTCGGCCCGCGCGAGGCGAGATCTCAACGGCCGGCTGGAGATTCTCTGGGTTTATTCAGCGTTTGCAGTCAAAGTGCAAATACTTTATTCCATTAAGTGCAATGGTTCTTCTTTTTACATAGATAGTGACAGCGCACAGTAATACAGAACGAGTAGAAACAATACAATAGTAGGAGAGTTATAAAATAGAATGATATAAAATAAGATGGATACAGTATACATCAGTCTGCATAGATTTACATTGTTTAATTTTGCATTTAAATGCCTGATGTCGCTGATAATATGAAAGATGATCCATTAATTTCCATTTGAAAGTAATTAGGTTGGAGACGTTTCTATTTTGTGGAAGGTTGTTTCAGATCTCGGGTCCTCGGATTTGCATTGATCTTGACCCTGTTTCCGCATACGATCTCTTGACATTCAGAGAGTTAATCAGTCTGGTATCAATGCCTGTTTTGTTACCAGAGGCATTAACCAATGATGTTTTTAATGAGTACATGTGTCATATTGAGATTTCTGTTGAACCATTTTAATTTGTTTATATGGGGATTTTCATGCCATGTTTATTCATATTCATAAGTTTTATAGTTTCAGTGCTATTTTTATTTGAGTTCTGTTGGATGAGTCCCATATGTCGGAGCAGTAGTCTATAATGTGTGCAACAGTTTCTCGTATCAGCGCAGAGCTTTTTTTTTTTTTTTTTTTTTTTTTTTTTTTTTAGGGGATTTAGGTATATCAAAGTGCCCATTACTTGTTTGTAAATGTTTTCCGTGTGTCTCAAAAGTCCTGTGTTTTTCTATGAGTACTAGATATTTAGTATCTCTCTCTCTCTCTCTCTCTCTCTCTCTCTCTCTCTCTCTATATATATATATATATATATATATATATATATATATATATATATATATATATATATATATATATATATATATCTACTCTCAGAAATGAGATGATTGGATTCTAAGAATGTTGATAGTTAGCTGATTTGCAGTATTTTAAACACTAGATACCACTGTGAGGAGAGTTATAGGATGATGATTATTCATTTCTTCTGAATCTTCTGATTTGAAAGTAAGCATTGTGATACCATGCTTCCAAATTGATGGGTAGGTACCGGTGACTATAGATGTATTATGGCAGTTACATACTATGCAATTCCAGATAAGCTATCTTTGATTGATCATAAAGCGATGCTCTCTACTCCTACAACATTTGATTTCGCAAATGTCTTATTATTAAGTCTGTTATTTCTACTCCTGTTGGCTGTGGTCTAAAAAGATTTGCTGAGTCTTGTCCTAATTGTGTTTTGTGCGGCCAAGGGAGCTAGTATCTACCGATATTAACAAAGTAGTCGTTTATAAGTTCTGTACTTCTGAGGGAATCTAAGCAGGTATCTGTTTTTTGTGCTAATATTTTAACTGTTTTCATGATTTTTGCAGTCATGTTTACAATCATTAAACTTACTTTGAAAATCATTTATTTTTGCAGATTGGATTAATGTTTTAATAGTTCTCTTCTTTGTTTAAAGTCAACCTGAAGGTTGTTATTAGTTCTACTCTTTTTGAGAAATTTGTGTGATTTCGGTCGTGTGTAGCTTTTTTGATGTCCTCTTTTATCCATGGATCGGGGGAGACGTTTGGCAATGTTGGTCTTGCAGGGATTAGTGGCATCTATAATATTTTTAGTACGTTAGAGAGAATGTCTACTTGTCTGTTAACGTCATCTGTTGTTAAAATCTTTAAGAGGGTTAAATGGCCGGCACTGATATTTTGACAAAGTGACTGGGAATCATAACCTGACAGGTCACGGGATTTTTTTATTTCAAGTTGTCGCTTGAGCCTCTTTTTATCTACTAACACAGTTAATAGTTTGTGGCCTGCGATTTGGCAAGGGATAACAGCAGTATAGATAACGAGATCGGATCTGTTTTCTGTGATCCTTGTAGGTTTATTTATAAGCTGTTGTAATTTGTGTTTCTTAATGATCCCAGTTAAGTTTGCATTTGACATATTTAAGTCGTCATTAATGTCACCTAAGATGAAAAAAGGTTTTCCTTGCGTTGATGTTTCTCTAAAACATCTTCGATATAGTCAAATGATTCAGCTGTAGCATGAGGGTGTCTATAGACTGTACCAGTAATGAAGGAAAGATACATAGTGCTTTGCACATTTAACTCAGATGTACTCTACAGCTGTATTATTTACAGCTGTAGCGATTTTATGTTTCTTACATCTATAAACACACATACACACACTTAAAACAAACAGCCAAAACCAATATGGATAGTCCTGAAGAAGTATTCTCGGAACGTGCTTGGGCATAACCCAGAAGAGACCCGCAGGGGCTTTGCCTGACCCACGTAGAAAAAGGCAAGGCAACTGCGTCAAGAACAAACGTTCCTAAAGTGGATAGATCGTAAGCTTCGAGTAGCAATGATAAATGTGGGTTGTTTAACAGGACGGGGCCGGAAACTAGCAGGTATGACGGAGAGAAGAAAGATACAGGGTTTGTGCCTACAGGAGACTAGAAGGAAAGAGAATAAGTCGAGAGTTAACGGCGAGGGTTGTGAACTTCTGAATAGCGGAGCGAATCATCAAGGGGATCGGCGTTGGAATGCTTTTAGCTAAGATTTGTAATGAATGTCTCGTATGTGCGAGAAGGAAAAGCCATGGGAGTATGAGTGGAACATTAAGCACTGGCGGGATGACCTTGAATGTGGTGTGTGCATGTGTGCCACACCACATGGCGTCAACTGGAAGAGGAAATAGAGGATTTGAATGAGCATGTTGGGAAAGAAAGGACGGGGTGTCCACGATACACGGTGGGTGGGGATTGGTGAGATGAATCTAGAAGGGCTATGCATTCCTGATTTTGCATTGGCAAGTGATGATGCAATACTCAACTTTTATTTTTTTTTTCAAAACAGATAATCATAATATCACCTATAAAAGTGGAGAAAGAAAGACAAATAGACTTTCTGTTGTGCCGAGGAACCATCTGAAAGAGGTAAAAGATATTGCAAGGTGTGTGTATGTTTGTCAGCATCAGCTTGCAACAGAATGGGAATTGAGACGTGCCAAAGGAGGAAAGCAGCAGAGAGTCCAGAAAATAAAATGATGGAAATTAAAAAGTGCAATGTTGAAAGATCAGTTGAAAGCAAAGGCAGTGAGTGAATTTCATCTAAAGAAGATGTAAATGAATGGTGGAAGGAAATTGGTTAGACTGTGGCGGTTCCTGATTGGCTATCAACCCAGAACCGCGGTTCTGAATTGATGGCCAATCAGGAACCACTACAGCACTCCCCCTCTAGTGTAGCAGTCGCGAAACGGACTTAGGCGATCCTGAATGGCTGCAGCAGATGTGTAGGTTTGACGCTGTCGATGGCCAGGAGGATGGTGATGGTCTTGTTGCCTCTTCGGATGACCGGGACAGAGAGGAGGTCTGGGGTGTTTTCTCAGGAAGACATGAGAGCAATTCTGGAGTCCTGGAGGCATGTATATGTCCTGTTGTCTGGTGGGTCTCGTTGGTTGGCTGCATACCCGTCATCCATTCGCAGAGTTGCTTGCTGAAGGTCCCTGGCTAAAAGTTGCTGGCTTTGACAAGGAAATCTGCAGGGAGGGCAAGTGTTGTTCCATAGACCATTTCTGCGGTGGTGCACTGCAGGACTTCTTTAAACTATGTCCGAATGTTAAGAAGGACATGGGGAAGTTGGTCGACCCACCTCCTGTTGGAGGATAAGGATGTTAGGGCCTGCTTCATGTGGCGATGGAGTCGCTCGACCATGCCGTTGGCGCACGGGTGGTAGGCGGTCTTCCTGATTCTTTAGGAACCGAGTAATACCATCATCTGGCGCCAGAGTTCTGCCTCGAACCGGGCGTCGGTAGTAACGGTGTCCGGTTTGCCAAAGCGGGAGATCCACGCGCTAAGGAAGGTCTTGGCGGCTGTCTCTGCAGTGATGTCACAGATGGGCGTAACCTCGGGCCATCTGGTGAAGCAGTTGACCATTGTCAGTATGTAGCTGTAGCAGTCGTCCATGGGCAGGGATCCCACTATATCGATGTGGATGTGTTAGAACCTTTCGTCTGGAATGGGGAAATTCTGGAGGGGAGATTTGGGTGTCTGTGGATCTAGGTCCTCTGGCTTTTGATGCACGAGCGATACCACTGTCGAACATCTTTGTTGATGGCAGGCTAGACGACTTTGCTGCAGGTGAGGTGTTGGGTGGCCAGGATGCCTTGATGCTGGTGATATACGTCGAAGAATCGCCGACGGAGGGAAGGCGGGATGTATGGTCGAGGGTAGCCGAGGGAGACATCGCAGAGGTCGTCGCGGGAGTTGGGGATTCTGACTCTCAAGGTTAAGGGACGTCTGTTCCTCTAAACGAGGAGTCATGGACGCATCCTGGCGTTGTTCACTGCTGACCAGGTGGTAATTCACT